ACTTTCGAAGAAACGAATCCGAGTGACTCATCTGGTAGATCTTGTCGGGTGTAATCCACGTGGAGCCCCGTGGAGTACGTAGTAGACAGCTTACAGAGGGAACCCAAATTCAGGGTGCTGAAAAAAAAATGCCATTTTTTAAAAAATTACCAAAAGCTCACTATCTCTAACCAGTTTCTGTATAAAGATATTTCTCTGAATCTTTTTAATCTTGGATAATAACAAATATGTCAGTTGTAGTTTGAATCTTAATCCTCAAATAGTGTTTCTTTAATTTATGTTCAAGAGCGCTAAAATACCCCAGATTCAGACCAAATCCAAAGCATAGCCTTTTACAGTTCTTTGGGGTATCTCGTTTGCAAAAAAAGTGCCTAATTTCTTTAAATTATGCTTCATCCAATTGGAGCATTTGATCATTGGTCATAGGTAGAAATTGGAAGGTGGAGTTCAGGAAGTTTCTTCCAGATCTTTAATTCTGAGATACCCTGGAAGAGTAGGTCCAGACTCTTCCTACCATTTTCACAGATGTAGAAGGGTCAGCCCCATTCCTCCCTTAGTCTCTTGATCTGGATTGATTGGGCCGTCACGTCCATGCCAGGATAGCGTATCAAATGTAGGCAAACTCCTGCTCTCCTCCCGCCTGTTCCAAACAGAAGACGAATGTCTGTGAGTCCTCGCCGTCTTCCTGTATTCATGAGGGGGGTGGTTACATTTCTTGTGATATATATTTCCATGGTGAAGGAGAAAATGGATTGGTTTCTTATAAATCTTAAACGATGATTATAAAAATAGACACTGATCATACAGGAGAGAAACAAGGTGTTTGATGATAGAAGCAGAGGGAGAAAGGACTGTGACGATAGAAGCAGAGGGAGAAAGGACTGCGCTCTGGAGTGGTGCGGATTCTCTGGATTCTGGCACCTCGGCGTCATATCGGGGGACGTGGTGAAGTGCTGCTGTGTGTTCTCTGGCGCTGTGCCCAGCAAGGAGTGGCACCTTATTTTTTGTTTTTCTTCAGAGCTACTTCACCAGGCCTTGGCTCACGTGGTTGCCTCACCCAGTAACTGCTGACCGGTGTGCTGAAAAAAGCACGGTCCTGTCCGGGGTCTTTAGCAAGGAGAGAAGGGATTTTTTTTTTTTTTCTGGAGAAAGAAATAAATGGTAGCATTTCATTTAAAATAAAATTGTAGACTGGTGACATTCTTGGGCACTTTCCCTGCTAATTCTCAGGCTTCACCCCTGGTTTGCTTCCTTCCTTCTAAAGGGGGCTGGGGGGACGCTTCCCAGGGGTGGAAGGAAGCAGCCTCTCTTTGGGTAAAGATGGCATTGCGTCACTCTAGAGAGCCAGGAGCCTTCCAGGGGCACCTCCTATGGGTCAAGGCTTACAGGGTGCCCCCAGCCTGGCCCCTAGCCATTTCCCTTGACCTCTCCTGTTCCCACTCTATCATAGCCTGGAGCCTGGCTTCACTTCTTATTTCTTCAGGCCATAGTGAAGCCTTTGGTAATGAAAACAGAATATGCCTCAATCGCCAAAAAGCACTTGGCGGTGGCTTGAGAGGTGTTTTGCATAGGAAGCCTCTTAAATGCCATCAAGGAGGGGTTGGGAAGAGCAAGGACTCCTGGGTCCTCACACTCTTCACATCGCGGGTTGGCTGCCACCCATTCTTGGCCCGGGTGGGGGAGAGGTGGACAGAAGCCACAGTGCCGTGTCCCCCACAGCCCAGGGGTGAGGCAGCCTAGGAATGCCCACCTTGAAAGCAGGCTGGGGAGAAGCAGCCGAGAGATTCAACATTGCCTGAAGGTCTCTTGTCAGTCATCTAAATGATTTTTTTCTCTCCTGTAGGGGGTGACAGGTGCTTTGACAGTTTTGATGAAAGATGCGATAAAACCAAATCTGATGCAGACCCTGGAAGTAAGTGATTTTCTTTTCATGGTAACTGTTTAGAGCATTCGCCTTAATTGAATTGTCTGGATGTCACTGTGGAACGTGAGCGTGGCCAGCCACCATGGGCCAGGCAAGGAGCATCCAAAGAGCTTCTTGATCACTGGGGAAAAAAAAAAAGATAAAAGTGAATTTATAGATTCTTAGATATGATTCAAATCTTGGCTTAAGGATCAGAGTGGAAACTTGGGAAGCTGATCTCTGCCTTAATTTTCAGTAGGTTGCGCAGGTGCATGGGCATGTTGTTTTCTGTTTTGCCTTGGGTTTCTTTCCTTAATTTAATCCTTCATAATCACTGGGTTTTGGATTTTGTGGTTGGTTTGCTTATTTTTTCTCATAGAATGATAAATGCTGAGAAGTGTTTTCTAGGAAAGTGTGCTGTGCTTGCTTGGCTTTTATGAGATAACGGCTTTTGAACTCTTATACAAAAATATTGAACTGAATTTTTTGTCCTGTCTTTACCAAACTGAATTTTTTCATAATGAGAGTGTCTATTTGAATCTAGTTTTCCAGTCACTCATCTGGTTTAGCAATTGTCTAATTCCTTCCTCCTAGCTAATTAGACCCCAGGATTTGAACCCAAATAAGGAGGCAGCATGCAGGTCAGGTTGAGCAGAACACAAGTGCAAGGGTGGGCGTGGATGGGGGACCTGGTGGTATGGGTAAGTATTTTCACAGACAGCTCTCTGGGGGAGAAAAATCTCTCCTCTGTATCATTTGCCAGTCGCCGTGGTGTAAAAATTTCCACCGTGCTAATTTCTGGCTCCCTGCAGATGTCACTAGGCTTGGAGTTGGGAGAAAATTTGCCTCATCAGTGGTGCAGATGGGGTATTTGTTTTCAAGCTGCAGTGGAAAAGGAAGGTGGAGGTGACCAGAGGGCAAGAATGCTGGGGGTCACAGTGGAAACCCATCCATTCATTCAGCTGGTATGAAGCTGAGTTTGAATGGACGCCCTGCCATTTGCAGCTGTGACCTGGGGCAAGTTATTTAATATCTCAACCTGTTTTCTTCCAGTGCAAATGGAGGCAGGTGACAACTAAACAGACAGGGGTACTGTGAAGACTATTTATTTAACACATAACATGGACCAGTTCTTAGCAGGTGCTTGGGACACATCAGGGAACAGTACAGAGTACCTGTCCTCAGAGCCTCCGCCGTGGTGGGCAGACAGACAGGAGACCTGGAGTAGACACCCGGCCTGTGAGTTGGAGGCAAGGGCTGAGGAAGGAACATCAGAGCGAATGAAGGGGCAGGTGCTGTGGGGTGTGCACCTGTGTGCCTCCTTGCCCACCTGTTCAGTGACACCTGGGATGAATGCAGAGTAGGGTCTGCAGGGGCTGAGGCCTCTCCCCACCACACCTGAGTCCTCCCTCCCTCTCTCCCAATCATCTCACCAGCGTGCACACATGCCCTGGAGTGGGCTGTTTAAAACCTAGCAAACCATCCTAGAGCCTCCTGCAACCCTGTATCCAGCTAAGGGGGCAGAGGATTGGAGCAGTCGTATTCCTTACGTCCATGTCTTATCTGACATGGGAGCTTCCACCTCTTCTGACCTCAGCTTCCACCTCCCCTCACAGCATTTGTCAAGGTCACCTCTCCCTCCTTCTGACCAAGTCTTCCTATCTCGGTCCTTTTCTTAACTGACCCTCCCCAGGCTTGACCCAGCTGCCCACATCCTCCTTCCGAAGCACCCATTTCTCTGGCTCCTGGACCTTCTCGCTGGCTTTTCTTCTATCTCATTCTCTGGCTCCTCTGTCCATTCCTGAGCTTTTGAGGACCTGACTCTTGTTCTGAATCTGCTGAACCTGGAATTTCAGACCTGTAGGGACAGTTATAAAGATGGGACCCTTTTTCCCACTTGGGTGGGAAAAATGCTTTTCAAACTTAAATAGAAAATAGGACCTTTGATTCTCAGTGTTTTAGTTAGCTTCACATCACTGTGATCAGAAGACCTGACGTGAACAACTAGAGGAGGAAGAGTTTATTTTGGCTCGCAGTTTCGGAGGTTCTGTCCACGGTCGAGCAACTCTGTGGCTTTGGACCTGAGGTCATGCAGATCCCAGCAGAAGGGCGTGATGGATGGAAGCAGCTCTGGACATGGCAACCAGGAAGCAGGCGGGAGGAGGCGGGAGAGAGTGCTCCACTTACCAGGGCACAGCCCCAGTGACCTACTTTCCCAGCTACACTCCATCTGCCTATAGTTACACCCAGTCAATACATGTCAGTAGATTAATCCACCAGTTAGGTGACAGTGCTCATAATCTAGTCATTTCACCTCTGAACCTTCTTATATTGTCTAACTCATCAGCTTTTGGGGGATGTCTCATATCTATACCATAACATTCCACCCCTGGCCCCCAAAAGCTCATGGTCATCTCACAGTGCAAAATACACTTAGTCCCTCTCCAAGAGTCCTCATAGTCTCAAGAGTCCCAGCATTGCCCAGAAGTCCAAATCCAGCATCTCATCTGAGACTCAAGGCACACTCTTGGTGCTTTCCCCTGTAAAGATCAAAAGCAAGTTCCATGTGTCCCATGTGTCATGGCACAGAGTAAACATTTGCATTCCACAAGGGAGAAATAGAAAGAAAGGATGGGGCCAAAGCTAGAGCAAAATCCAGGCAGGCAAACAAGTCCTGTAGCTCCAAGTCTAGCATCTGGGGCACATAACATAATGGTCCCTCCAAATGACATGTGTACCTCTGTCTCTGACCTTGCTGGTTGCAGTCTGCATGGCCTCTCGCTTGGCCTGTGGCTGCTTGATTCTGCAACTTTCCTCTGCAGAAGTTCCTCTACACTGGCATCTCTTCATCTTGGGGGTCTCCACTGCAGCTTGTCTTCCTTCTCACATCTTTGTGCATCGCTCTCTCAGGGGCTGCCTGCAGCGATGCCAACCTGCCACACTTTGGCTTCCCGGGCTTTCCTTTTTAATCTTGGTGGAAGCCCCCATGACCCCCTAACTCCAGCATCCTACAGAAACCAGCACCACGTGGTTGGGATGATCTCCAGTACTCCCTGTTGAACACACATGATTGTTAGTCCCATAGCAGTTTATCAGGGGCCACCTCTCCATAGGTTGCCAGAAGATAAGTAGTGGGTAAGCAGCCAACTATTTGAAGTCTCAATCTCATAAAATGTTTGGAAAGCGTGTTATAGAGATAGTTCATAGTTTTTTCATAATGAAAAGCTAAGATAGCTCCTGTATAGTGTTCTATAGAAAACAAAAGACTGAACTCAAAATATTTTTATACCTTTGAATTAGACATAGCTTGTTTTAGACCCTGAATTGAACTCAAGAGTACTGTATTTTACAGCTACACCCATCATTGAATGTATATGTATCCCTGGGTGTGAATGTCTAACAATGCTGTTTTTTAATAATTTTTTTCATTCAGTCCCCATACTGGGAGTTTCAGAACCAGAGCCCTAGTCTTGATTTAATCATCCATCCCCTGTGTGGCCTTGAAGAATTCCCTTAGCTTCTCTGGGCCTTTAGTTTCTCATGCAAAGAAGAGGTTAGCCTCTTCTTGCATGTGCTCACACATTATCTGGTTCTATAGTTTCTAGCTGGAACCACATTTATTTATACAAAACTGTAACATGATTTTGCAAAGTGGAGAATAGAAGGGTGGTTCTCGGGGGCTGGAGGGTGAGAGGGAGTGGGAAGATCTTGGCCACACTCTATAAAGTTCCAGTCAGACAGGAGGAATAAGTTCTTAGGATGTGTTGCACAGCAAGGTGACCATAGTTCATAATAATGCATTAGATTTTTCAAAGTTGCCCAAAGAATAGATTTTATATGTGCTCACTGATAAATATGTAAGGTGATGGATATGTGATTAGCTTCATAGAAAGTAAATTTGCTCGCTGTCCATTACTATGAGAAATAGCTGAGATGATCAATGTATAAAGACCAAAGCCCGGTTTGGCTCACAGTTTTAGAGGTTTCAGTCCATGATGTGAGTTTGCCCTGTTGGTTTGGGGGGCTCCGGGGAGGCAGCACACCATGGTGAGAGTGCAGGGCAGAGCAGAGCTGCTCACCTCATGGTCAGAACTCAGAGAGAGAGAGGTCAGGGTCCCACAATCCCTTCAAGGAGACTCTACCCATGACTGTAAACTTCCAGTGGACCCCAAGAGTGCCAAGTTGGACACCAAGCCTTTAACCCATGGGCCTTTGGGGGACTTTCCAAAGCCTAACTGCAGTATCATTCTACTATGTGTATCAAAATATCACAGTGTGCCCCATAAAGACATAAAACTGCTGTCAATTAAAAGTAAAATTTCTAAATACAAAATGCTTTTGCAATTTTGTAGGTTAGTTATGTAACTTAGAAAATAAGAAAGATTCGACAGTATAAAAGTCCTTTCCTACTGTAAGTCGTATTAGATCTGGTTGGAGTGGTCTTCCCAGGAAAAGCAATGTTTATGCTGATTCGATCATACCCTGTCACCTGTGTCCCCTGGAGACCAGGGCCCTCGTGCTTCTCAGACAGATGGCTGTGGTGAGGTTGCAGTCTGTACAGGGAGGCCAGCTGCCCATCCAAGGATGGAGCCTGTGACCTTGTCATTGTTAAACTTGGCCAACTCCTCTTGCTAACCATAGGCAACAATGTGCTCAGACCAGCAAGAATAGGAGGTGATGGGGACTTTGGGGTCTTTGTAAAAATGCATTTTTCAGAGCACTTAAAGGTCTTATCTAGCTGGGCACAGTGGCACACAACTATAACCCCAGCCTCAGGAGGCTGAGGCTCAAGGATCTCAAATTCAAGACCAACACAAGCAATTTAACGAGATCCTGTCTCAAATATAAAAGGACCTGGGCTGGGGATGTGGCTCAAGCTGTATCGCGCTCGCCTGGCATGCGTGCGGCCCGGGTTCGATCCTCAGCACCACATACCAACAAAGATGTTGTGTCTGCCAAGAACTAAAAAATAAATATTAAAAAAAAAATTCTCTCTCTCTCTCTCTCTCTCTCTCTCTCTCTCTCTCTCTCTCTCTCTCTCTTTAAAATAAATAAATAAAAATAAAAGGAGCTTGGGAGGTAGCTCAGTGGTAGAATATCACTGGGTTCAATCCCCAGTACCACACATTAAAAAAAGAAGAAGAAAGAGAAAAGGAAAAGAAAAAAGGTTTATTTAGATAGAAGTGAGCAATTGTGGACTGTTAGGTGGAGATGTCGGCAGTAAGCCTACATACTTATCCATAAACCTGTACACCTGGGTTTTATAGCCCTGGCTTTGTTTCACATACAGTGCTGTGCCCTTCTTGGGGCCCTATCTCATTCTCCCTCCTGGGAACATCACAAGGAAAAATAAAGAAATAGGGAATCACTTAGTGGTTTTGAGGAACTCTCTCTTATTCTCAGAGATGATTTTTCTCTCACTAACCTCCTTCCTGCTGTTGTTCAGCGTCCTCAGCTTTGAACTGTGTTCTGCCAACAGCCCGTCACGGTTCGTGGGAATTTTCCATGGCTCTCAGCCCCCAGCCTCCCACATTGCTCCCTGCCTTCCCCGGTGTCAGCAGAGGGGCAGCCTGTATTTTCACAGGTGGAGCGAAGCTATCGTATGCACAGACCATCAGGGCCCTGGCTGGGCTCAGAGTAAAACCCGAACACTTTAATGCACAAGGATAAATTCTTGTGCATTAAAGGCTAAAGTCCATTTTTATCAACAAAGGAAAATAAAATCATTTAAAATGAACATATGAACAGATTTTGTCTTAAATAATTAAAATCTAAAATTTTTAGTGGAACCCTTTTTTATTGTCTTTTTTACTCTGACATTTTTACTATGAGTGCAATTTTTCTTTACTTCAGTTATCTTAGTAGTTACTGTGTTTCGAACATGGATGATTGAGAAAGGCTTAACAGAACTTTTAAAAATCAGAAAACAACTTTACTATGAAAATAAAAGCAGCCTAAACTTAATCTTTCTGTATGTGGCCTACGGTGATTCCCGCCATTCATTAATTGTTTTGATTTTTTTTTTTTTATGCTTACTTTAGATTTCTCTTGAGTTGACTAATTTCTTAACTGGAAAAAATTTAAAAGTTCTCTTAGTTCATTAGAGTTTTATTCTATTCTTTCAAAAAATATGATGCAGAGCAGTGTGAAGTAAGGTAAACTGTTAATTTCCTGGTCACTGAGATAGCGAACAGTAGCTTATCAAAATTATAGTAGGAAGTGGCTGTATTATAGCTTTCTGCCCCTGGTTCAGCATTAAATGTAGAGTAACTGTGTTCTAGAATACATTTCAAATACATTAGAAATTTGGTCTTTTGAGTGAATCAGGGAGTTGAAACTCATTTTTGAAAGATGTTGTGCATTGAAGATAACAATGTAGAAAAAGAAAGAATGACTTGAATCATTAAAACACCTAACAGTCTGTCCCACCTTGTGTGCCCCAGATTGATCTTGGTTCCCTTCTTCCATTTGCCTTCGGGGGTCTCACCTTGTTCTCCTCTGCAGGGGACACCTGTGTTTGTGCATGCCGGCCCCTTTGCTAACATCGCCCACGGCAACTCTTCAGTGTTAGCTGACAAAATTGCCCTGAAACTGGTTGGTGAAGAAGGATTCGTAGGTAAATCGTTGCTTTTCAATTTTTTTTGTTGTAAAATGTTGATGTTAAAAGATAACGACTGGGAAATCTGTCCTTGAAGACCCACTTTTCATAGTGATCTCAGAGTTGGAAAAGCCTACATAGTAAAATTATGTTGTGGTTGAACTGTAGGTTCTGAGGTCTCCTACGCATGCATTTGAATATACGCTTTAATGCTTTAATGCTTGTCAAGTGAGTGACCTTAGGCACATTGTAAATGACAACAGAGCCTGAATTTTGTCTTCCGAAAAATGGTGCTGACTACCATTTCTGTCAAATTCAGGTTAGGTGGGTGACTACATAATGTCATTTAGTTTCCATAAGCCTATAAAGTTTGATAGAAACTTAATGAAGTTATTTAGCCTTGCAACAAATGTTTGTTGAGAACCTACCAGGTACAAAGCATGCTGCTCAGAGCTGGGATCTAGAGGTAAGCAAAGCAGACCTAGCCACTGCCCTCATAGCGTGTACTGTGAACCTACTGTAGTAACAATAGGACCAACACATGGAAATCGCTCTTTTCCTGGAATCCTGGTGTGTTTTTGTGACCTAACAACGAGGAGATAGATGCCCAACCAGTAGCTTTTGGAGTTTGATCCAAGAGGTCTGCAGACTTTTTGTCCTTAAGGGGCACCTGCTATAGTTTGCCCTGGCAGTGCCAGCTCCAGTCCCCACCATGATAGTAAGGCAGTGAGAAAACAAAACAAACTAGGATTCATGGACAGGCACTCAATCTGACATATGAGGAGTTAATTGGCAAGTGCGCACATGGCAGCCAGTAAGTCTCCTTCACCACATATGGGACCTGGATGGAGTATAGCAGGTGCTTCATTCACACTTAACCATAGGCCTTATCTCAACTCAGAAGAGAGGTATTTTACTATTACAAAAAAAAAAAAAAAGTCTGCTGGACAGAAAAACTAACTTTGCACTTTTAAGTTCCGACATCATTAAGTTCATTCAGGGTCAAGACTTGTTTTAAGAATTCTTTAGAGATAGGAAGTCAAGATCAAGTGAGATTTATGTAAGTCCATTCCTCAAGGTCTGTATAATACAGCAATCACGCTGCTTCAGTACCAAATCCACTGCTTGAGTGGCCAGACGCACTGTCTAAATGGATTTGCTCGATTGATCACGCATAATTGTAGAGCTAATGGACCAAGAGGCTGCGGAAGGGCAGCACTGAAAAACTGGGCACTAAGTGAAGTAGTGGTTGTGGTGCATCGACTGCAAATAAAAGAGCTTGTACTAGCAAGCACTCTGTGTTGTGCTGACAGAGCTCTCTGCCTTGCCCGCGGGTTCACTTCATCAAACACATATTTGTAGAATATGTATCATCATGGCAGAATATCTTTAAAAGTACCTGAGGATGTATGCAAAGCATGCTGGCTGTTTGTGTGACCTTGGCAAGCCATTGATTCTGGGTGTGCTTCTTATGTGCATTCTTGTCTGCTAAATGAGAAGTTGGACCAGATGAGGAGTTGATAGGGATAGGAGGCCAAGAACCCAGAGAAAGCTATGGGATTTGGTAAGTGTGGTGGTGCATGCCTATAATCCCAGTGACTCCATAGAGGAAGGAGGATTGCAAGATCAAGGCTAGCCTCAGCAATTCGGTGAGACCCTGTCTCAAATTTTAAAAATAAATAAATAAATGAAATGGACTGGGAATGTAACTCTGTGGTAAAACCCTCCTGACTTCAATCCCAACTACATATATATATATATATAGGATCAGAGCCCCCACTCCCTAGTATGACTCTTGAAGCAACTAATTTTACTTCCCTAGGCTCAGTTTCCTCTTTAGATAAAAAGAAAACACTTAGTTACAGTACTTTAATAAGTAATAGCCAGTGAGAAAGTGATTTGTAAAACAGGAAACTATGTAAATGTCAGCAACAATGCTAGTGATTTCCCTGATGCCTTCCTTCTAGTGTGAGAGGCTGTAAGTGGGAGTGCCAATGAACTTGTCTAAGGACTTAGAATCTGAACTCTAGAGTCAGAGTACCTGGCTCAACCACTTCCAAGTCTTATGAACTTAGACAAGTCAACCCTTCTGTGCCTTGGTTTCCTTATCTGTGCCATGGGGCTTTTAAGAAGACTTGCCTCCTAGGTTTAAAAGGCGGGTTACATGAGACTATGCATACCTAGTCTCAGGACAGCACCCCATAATTCTTGGCTACTCCTCATTGATAACTGTTTTCCCCATTTTTACTTATTTGAGGAAGACAATGATTTTATTTTTAATTGTAAATTATACATCATATAAATTTACCTTAACCTTAACCATTTTAAAATGCACAGTTCAGCAGTGAAGTACATTCACATTGTTGAACAGCCATCTCCGGAACTCCTTTCCTCTACCAAACCTGAATCCTGTGCCTGTTAAACATTCCTCATCCTTCCTCCTCCTAGCTCCTGGCATCCAGCATTCTACCTTCTGTCTCTATGGATTTGACTCCTCCAAGTGTTCCATGTATGTGAAATCAGGCATTTTTTGTCCTCCTGTGACTGGCTTATTTACTTAGCAGAATGTCCTCGAGTTTCATCCAGTTTATAGTATGCATCAGAATTTCCTTTTGTAAGGTTGGAAAAAAAATCCACTTAATTATTTACCACCCTTTCTCTATTCGTTCATTGGTGGGCATTTGAAAATGTTGCTTCCACCTCTTGGCTGTTATGAACAATGTTGCTATGCACATGGGTATATTAGTAGCTCTTTTATACCACTTTTAACGTCTAAAAATCCTGGTCTATTATGTATAAATATGTTATTTATATAAACATGCTCAGACCACAAGACACTACCCCTGCGGTGCTCTCACAAAGTACATCTATGCCACTTTCCATTGGCACGTCTGCCCAAAGCCTGCTTGTGGAACAGCAGGAACAGGGTGTGGTCAAGAGACTCAGTCTCTCCCCCTCTGCCTGCTCAGGCCTGCAGTGGAGCAGGGTGGTGGTTCTTCCCTGCTGGGGTGAAGTGTATGATAGTTCTCTCTCACTCTCTGGTGCTGTTTGATCCCCCTAAATTTTTTTTTTTTTATTCCTCTCACTTTCAGTCACAAGAATAGTGACATTCTAGTAAACAATGTATCATATAAAAACCAAAGCCTCCAAATTTCATTCAAATTTAAGCTCCTTCCCTTTGCCACTTTAGTCCTCCTGACAGCAGGAAGAAGGTGGCAACTTCTGTCACCCATGTCTTCTCTCGGGCTGCCCTAGCCCTTGCAGGTTTGAAGCTTTGGCATTGGTGGTACCCACCCAGCCTCTTCTAGCCAAAGACCCCCACACTGTGGCCAGTATCCCCTTTAGACAATTGCACTGCTTCATCTACTTCTGGTCTCCAAGCATTGCAGACCTTTGATCTCTGCCAGGAGATGGGTGTTGGTCTTCTAAAGCTGCCCTTACCTCCTGGAAGAGAGGTAGAAGCAGCCCCTATCCTTCCTCTGGCTGGTGGGAAGGGGATTGGGGTTTGGGATTTGCATTTGGCACATTGTATGATTTCTTTGAAGATGTTCTTTCCCAGGTTCTAAGGTTAACTGTTGGACTGAAGGATGCAAAATCTATTTTCAGACAGGTTCTTTGCAGATCCTGCTAGATCAGCTAGCATTATCCTTTTGCATGTCAGCAATTGACATCATTTTGGCATCTGAAATAAAATAGAGACCACTAGAGGCCCATTTTGACATGCTTCCACAGACATCAAATGCAGTAGACATAAAGCTTATCAGAAGTCTCAGGAGGAATTTATATCCCTTTAAAAACTGTTGTTTATCAGAGATTGTCTTTCTGACCTCATGGTAGGGAAGATCTGTTAAGAAAAAGATTGATAATTTGGATGCCAATAAAATATACTCTGCATGGAGAAGGATACAAGGTAAAAAGGCAGGTTGACAGATTGGGAAGAAACATTTGCAAAGATAATAGACATGATTAGTGTTCAGAACAGTATAGGACTAGGCGGGTGGCTCAGTGGTAATCTAATAGAAAAATGGATGAAGCATTTGGAAAGGCTCTTTGGCAGAATTTCTGGGTAAGACTGAAAATGAACAAATGACCCAACAATTTCATTTCTATGTAGAAAAGAAAACAATTGGAAATATATTGCAGTCCTTTGAAATGCTTCATTATACATTTGCCAACCTTCCGCTGCATTAGATGCTAGCAGCTGAGAATCAGGATATATGACACGTCTGTACCAGTAAATGCCAATGTGGTACAAAAGGCAAACCATGGGCAGCACCTGGGCAGTGGGCATTGTGCACATAGGAGCTTGAGTGCTCCCTTGAACAGTGAAGAACTTTAGGAGGAGCTGCCGTCTCCTAGGCAGAATTTCCTCCATATTGCTGGTTTTGCTGAGGCACGTTTAGTCCAATTTTTAGTTCTAGCCCAACACATAAAAGGATGAAACTATTTTGTCTATTCTGAATAATTATTCTAAGATAATGGAATCAATAGTCCATTTAGATTTGAGAGTAGCGTTTATTTAATTAACTGCATGTATTTGTCAGACTAGAGCAAAATGCTTCACAAAAATGAATTTTTGGAAAAGAGCTGC